AACTCCATAAATATTTTCCAAGTGTATTTTTTACTATTGACAGTATTTTTTGGTGTATTTTCTTCAATGATTTTGTCAATTGCCGCATCATTTTGAACACCAAAGCGAGGAAGTGACATTTTCGAAATAAATTGAATTACTGAAATGTCAAACAACTTTATTGTGTTGGTTGCTTAGCAATGTCATGACATAAATGATAACTACCCGTGAAAACTATCCATGGGTAGTTATCAGTGTAATGATGGTTTCATTGGTTATTTCGACACACATGACTAGAAATAGACAAATTTGATAGGATAATTTTTTTGGCAAAAAATTTTCGTGTGAACAATATGTTTTGATGGGTTAAGAAATTATAGTATTTACATTATTATGGTTATTACAATTATTTTTTCCCTAAGTTTGCGCTAGTCGGGTCCTATACCCGAAACGTCAAAATATTCGGCAGGACGCGCCAGAATTATAAACCAATGACTTATCCCCACACCGTGGGGTAAGTGAGCATTGGATCCGAGAATCATATTCCCTAAGCAAGCGGAGTGAGCCAAGAATGACAGCCTTCTGCATTCGTCCGGCTGAGGTTAGTGCGGCAAACTGGCATGATCTTGAGATTCGAAAGTAGAGAGGGCATCATTTCACCAAGGACTCCAATAACCATCAATAATTATTTTATCATTGACTTTTTTTTAACCTAAGTTTCCGCTGGTCTGGCCCTATCCCTCGAAGCCCCATACATTTAGGGGGGCGGGCCGGAATTATAAACCAACAACCACTTCCCACACCGTGCGGTAAGTGATCATTGGATCCGAGTCATGTGCCCTGAGTAAGCGCAGTGAGTCAAAATGACAACCTTCTTCATTTGTCCTGCTAAGATGTTTGTCTTAGTGCGGCAAGTCGGTATGATTTTGAGATTCGCGACTGCGGTAAACTAAGGTGTTGTATAGACACTATCCTGGTATGCAATGTTGAATGCCTCAGTTTTCGACTTTAGCCCTCTCGATCTGAGGATCTGATAAACGAAGTTCTTCAATATTGTTGAAGAGGGCCCTATTGGCTCATCCTTGTGTTGCCGCAGAAGTGAGGGGATCTCTGCGGCTTTTATGTGAGTCTTTGCTGAACGGGTTCCAACTCGATGACTTTAAAAGCATGTTTTTCAGGTAAAAACGGAAAGCTTCTTCTTGGATGGTAGATGGAGGTCTAACCACAACATATGGCTCCACAATTATTTGGGATGGTCCAGGTTCCATATTATTCTTGAACATTTCAAAATGTTCTTGAACATTGTAGAATGTTCCGTAGTGTTTTGAAAACATTTAGAAGGCGAAAATTATATCGGGCATATCTTTAGAAGTACGCTTCTCAGTATAAACGTAAATCATTTCCATGGATGGGTAATAGAGGTCTCCAACAACATATAATTCCTTCGATAGTTCCATAATGATCTGGGATGTTTCGGGACTTTGGAACTAACATCTTTGGAACAAGTATCATGTTACAAAAATTCGGTGTCCTCAAGTGTTCTGACAAATAGGATATTTTTAAGGAGTTAGCGTATAAAAGGAATTCTAAATTTTTTATATAATCAGATATGTCATTACTGAACATGTCAAACATAAGTGATCCTGAATCCTGACCCCTGTGCTGATCCCTGTGGATCTTTTGAAGTGGGTATAAAATTATTTGATTCACTCTTATTGAAACTGACAAACTGTTCTTCGATACAAAGAAAGAACATGAAAAATGAGGTATTTGTGACGAAAGAGTAGAAATATAGCTTTTTAATCAACACTTCATGATTGACGCTGTCAATTGCCTTAGCTAGATCAGTATAAAATGTGTCAATTTGTGATTCCTCAATTTCTTTGGCAACGTAGTCACTGAATGAATGAAGACTGGCAACAGTGGATCTCTTATTGATAAATTCATGTTGTTGCTTGATAAGTAATGTAGTGATATGATGATAAATCCTATTAATTGATATTTTTTCAAAAAAATGACTTGTTCCATAAGTCATGTCTGACTTGGTGAATCGCCATGTTGCTGAGTGTTTTAATAAACGTTATCATTTCTATTATCATGTGTCACCCCAATATAACAATGGCACATTTTCAATACACCAGTTAATTTGCATTTTGGCAAACCCTGTACTCGATCAGTCATCGCAGGGTGCGTCATCAGAAATTATTATCCTCATAAATAATTTATATCAGTATCATAAACAGTATGCAAGTGTGTCCTTTTACGAACAGGTGAGTGAAATACCAGCTGATACGCGTTCTAATTATACATGTAGGATAATGAAAAATCAATATTAGGCGAGGTAATTTTCCCCTTTCTGTAAACAGCAACCAATGAAGAACTAGAAGCTTTTTAATGTAATATTCTGCCAGGTTTCTGATGAATAAACACACGATGATTAGTCGAACGCTAGATATGAGAAGATAAGTAGCTGTTAATATAACTTTTTTTTGGGAGTTGTAGTAGTATATTGTGTAATAAATGTCTGAAGCATAACTTTATGCACGAGTTTGCAAAATGAGCAGTGTTGCAAACCAAACCAGTGTTCAAAAGGCTTCACACAAGTTTTTCACACTATACTTTTTATACGATTTTTGAATGAAATATAAACAAAAATTAATATTTTCATTAGATTTTTAATCATTTTGAAAGAGATCATTATGAATTAGTTATAGTGATCTCCCGAGGACGCTAACTTGGATGGCGAAATGCGCGTCGAGAGACCGTAATTTTTGTTCTGGTGTTGGGAAAGTGTTCTTAATAGAATCGTTTTAATGTTGGCTAAAATTTCATAATTTTCATGATTTGTTATTAAGAGATTATGTTGGAATTTCGTTCGAGCTGTTAAGGTTTTTAGAAGTTGAAGTATTTTACGAAGGTGATGTTTACATGTTGAAAACATATACAGTGCATTTCTTTAATGTCCCCACCCCTTTTATTTTTTGAACGGGTCAACTGAAAAATTGAAATTTGGGATAATGAAATTAATGCATGGATACTTTATTTTGAAGTGAAATTGACAGATGAAACTTTCGAAATGGCGATTGGGCGCCATCTGGAAAAAAATGAAATGAAAAGGGGGGGATCTTGTGACATCATTTTGAAGCTCCTGACGAATACTTCACAACCCTAGAATATGAAGTCAATATCTTCAGCTAGTACAAAATGGCGGAACATTTAATGATTTCCTGAAGACAAACACATTAATATCGATATTTCTAGAAATATTCCTTTTTATCTACCATATGGCAATTCCAACAACCCGATAAGGTTTGTTAAGTTATGTCTATGAAAACGACAAAAAATTTCAGTACGAGCTCAGAGTGGAACACAGCAAACATTGAACTAGTAACGAGACTTGGGGACAAGGGAGATTTCGACCTCGTCCTCGAGTCATGTAAGTACAAATCTAAGTGATTCTTGTGGTTATCAAAAATGAAAAACATCACATACGCACGGTGTCACCAACAGGAGCTAATCGCACATTTGTGGTTTCAATTAGAAGACCTAGCATTCCCAGGCATCATCTAACATCACCACGCAGGCAGCTATAGCTACCTGCGTGACTTCCGGGTCCAGGATATAAATACAGAGATATAGATGTTATTGAGTGTGTATGATATAAATCAAAAGGGGAAATTCGTGGACAGAACACTCAAAAAATAGGAACAAACCGCGGACACGTGTTTCTGGCTTTTGTTAAATCTTCTTGAGGATAATAGCACAGTACACGGATCAAAACCCAGAAACCAGTTCAGTATATTCCTATCCGTGAGAACTTTACATTTAACATTTCAAACCTTCACGGGAAGAAGAGGTCAATCAAGAATATCTCAATTCCTAGACGTTCTCATATCTAATTGTATTTGTTTTCTATTTCAATTGTCAATTGGGGAAGATGTTAGATATCTGATCATGTATGATATATATTCCAAAAAGGTTTTTATTGTATGTTTTGTATATAAGCTACCGACTCGTGGGAGACGGAGTTCAGTTGTTGTTTAGTATATACAAATATGGGAAATATATGTGTAGTTGTGAGCCTAAAGCGTTTCATTTCATGCAAAATACATAACATCTTCAAAGTCTCGAATGGATTCAAGATTTCTTTTATTGTGAACATTCAAATCCGATAAATCTTTCCATATCTGCTTACTTCTTGTAAGCCGATGACTGAGATATGCTCTTTTCTCCATGTTTACAGTGCGATTGGTTAAATTCCTCAATTGTTTGTAATAATCCCAGTGATGCCGTAACTTTATCTTTCTAAATCCCACAAAAGCTCTGTCCTTTAGTTCAAACATGAGTTTCAGGTTGTCTGTGAGCGAAGGGGCCATTTTGTTGGAAAGTTAAACAGTTTCAATAGGAGAATGTTTTTCAAAAAGATCACTTAATATCCCATTGAAAAGAGCCAATTTGTCATTGATATTTTCGATGTCGTAATATAATATAGTAGTTAACAGTGCCTTGTTCCATTCAAAATTTGGAGGGATGGGGCTTTTACGTCCTCACTGTATTTTAGTGGTACGGATACATCATACGTACGTGGGACTCCTGGTAGGTCTCCACGCTCATATTCCAATGTAGCGGAGAAATATGTTATGTTGAAATATTTTTTCAGTTAACCAGCTATCGCACCCCTACGAACAACAACCCTCAGAAGTAACGTGTGTTTTCTAAGACGGGTTGGACGATAGCAAGTGAAAATCGAGCGTTCAGCCTGGGGCTTGAACCTTTGACTCGCATATCGGTCTCTTCATCGCACATCGCACATCGGTCTCTTCAAGGCTGCTATCGGAGCGAACAATGAAATTGGCTTGATTTTCCACACTGAATCGGATGATCAAACCTCTGTCACCGCGATGCAACTCGTTCAGCAAAAAGTCCAGATGAAAGCCGCAGACACAAATTTGCTTCTGCGATTCAGTCCAGTCATTTCAGGAGCTGAGCTGAATTTTGGTATACACCTTCGTACTATGGCGTTTTAATGAAGATGTGAAAAATCGACATTGATATCGTGCCGGCTAAAAAAGTTATAAGGGTCAAACAGTCAGGTCACGAAAATCAGTTTTTGGAGAATATCTCGCGACCTATGGCTCGGAGGTCAATAATGGTCATTATAAAAATTATTCCTCATACGATTATCTACAAAAAATGTATTTTGCATTTTTCTGTAAAGACAATCGTTTTCGGACTAGAGCGCTGAGTAAGCGACTACAATGCAAGGCGCGTTTTTTTACATGGTTTTCCCCATAGGCATAATCCATGAACTGTAATAAAAGCCTTTTTTATTTTATGCTTAATAATTTTTTTATTTGTACATTGAAAAATAGGGAAAAAAATTTGTATATAATTTTCTTTTATATTCATTCGTCGTCGATATCCTCAATTTCAACTTCATCAAAAGTTGCTGACAAAACATCGAGTAAACTAACTCATTGCTGTATTCAAATCAACATCTTCATCATTTTCTTCACGAGTAGATTTTGCGTTTGAGCATGACTAACCACGACAATGTCCACAAGCTTTAGAACATCTCAATCCAATTTTTTTTACATCCACATTTGCTGCCACAACCTTTTGTACAATTACAAAAGATTGTGCTTAATAGATCAACGGGTGCTGGTGGCAATAAAGTTGTTATTGGTTGTAATATATTATTTTTCAACTCCCAACCCCACTATTCTGGATCAATTTCTTTCACTAGCCAGGTTTGTATTTGATAATAGACTCGATAAATATGCTGTTGAGCTGCTGAAGAAGTGGGTGGTAATAATTGAAATTTCACAGCTGTGCTTTGTCTTGTTAGTTCAGCAAAGCTGCAGTATCTGTAATTGTCAATTGAATTTTCTGATTGAAGTGTTGAAGTTGTGTCACATCCGGTCATAGCATGAAGAAACAGAATATTTTTCTTGCAGTGTGGATACTTGTTGAAGCTCTCAGTCGAGTATATTTTTGTTTCAACATTGTTTTTCCCTGGTTTCTTAAAAGAAATGGATGTAGGTTGATCAAGTATTTGTGTGCCTGCTATGAGATGTACCAATAGATCTATGTCTTCGCCAACGATAATTGTAGTATTATTTATTGATTTTTCAAATGTTATTATGATTATTATTATGACTATTATAACTGTTATGACGTCAACATCATCACGTGATTCTAGAAATACCAACTTTTTCGAAATTCTCAATGAACATTTCAATTAATTTTCTTTTGTTAAATCGATTAGATGAAAATTTTTCTTGACCGATTGGAACTTCCATCGATTCATTGAAGTGCACTTCACAAGATGTAGAAACGGCTGCGGTTCGTCGCTTTGATATTTTATAAAAAGCAATAGAATTGACGCCTTATATGTATACGGTATACAATACCCTATGTGAGTGCATTCTACTCGCTTTCTCAGCGCTCTAGTCCGAAAACGGTTGACTTTACAGAAAAATGCAAAAAAAAATTAAAAAACATTGCAACAACTAAATTTCCGAGACAACGCCAACACAAAACGACATGAAACAAAGGAATGGCTTTATCTGTGATTCTGATTAGGTGTTGTCTGTTTTTTAATCAATGACATAAAAAAAATGAAAAAAGGGTGGATTATTCAGGAATTTTACGTATCGATTTGAAATATGCAGTGTTAAGGCCATCGACATCTCGTCTAGTGTTAACACTATCGCATTTGAGGATATGTATCATTTCGCACAAATAAAAAGTCTTTTGGATAAATATGGTTGAACATCTACAATAGTTGTATGATCAAAATCTAAAATATATCCAGCTTCTTTTTCATCTCTCTACGTAGTAACGGTTACATTCATCAATTTAATACTGAAGATCTCGCTCCATTCAAGAATTCTGACTTTTACTTTCTCCAGTTCAAGTGGGCTGAAGTCGGAAATCGAGGGAGTTATCATGTCCTGTTACAATAATCAACATGTGTAGTTTCCCCCACAACAGAGAGTCTTCTCTGCATGGTTCGCGACCATGACAGAGCAAGAAACGGGACATTTGTCTTCAAGGCAGCTGCTCGAGCGGCGGATGAATTCAGTTTAGTTTTCAAAACTGAACGAGGCGATAACACCTCTCACCGAGTTGGAATCCGTCCACCAAAACGGCCACATAAAACCCGCAGAGGTCACTTCACTACAAGGATAAGCCAATGCATGGGGTCTTCTGTAACAACATTAAAGGTCTCGGCGTATCAAAGCCTGTATCCCTAAATGGTGGTTCGCAGAACCCTCGGGTTCCGTAGAAGGGTCACAGGTGTCTGTCAGAGATCTAAATACCCTGCAATTGTTGAAAAAGCTATTTCGGTTCTGCTTCCATATGTGACGACCTACTGCAAGATTGGATTTTCAGGTTACGCTCACACAACAAAATAAATACCGAAACAGATTGGATGCAGATTCGGTTTAGGGTTCCATGGCCAAATAAAATTGGGAACCCCTGTAATCAAAGCACCTGACCTTTTGTTTTCTCAGGTTGAGTGGATTGGAATCGGAAACTGATGGATCTACCATGGTCTGTCAGGATTGTGTCTTCGATACCTTAGTCTACCGAAGTCGCGTGATGGGTGTCGAGTATCCTGATACCAGGTGAGACCTGCTTCTCAGGTGCCTGCCTAATAACCTAATGCATTTGCTGTCGGAATGCTCAGCATATGCGGTCTCAGCTTATATCCTATATCCATCGACATAACGCGACTTCAAGGGTGTTTTATTATCACCTACGGCACTTTCATGGTATTGACGAGACACCGATGTTGCCTTATGCTCCGGGGAGATTGAATCCGTTGTGGGGAATGAGCAGTGCGGAACTATTTATTTCACACCCTCAGGCTTATAAAAGCTAATATCAGGCTTATTAGTTCTCGACCATCAGAGCAAGGCGATATTTGCCGTGGGGTTAATAGCTCTAGGTGAGACAAATATTGTTCGGAAAGAGAAGGAAGAGCAGATGAAATATCGAGTTTTCCTCTTTCAACTCCACAAACGCTATCCAGACCACTATGTCAAAATTGTTTTTTGATTTCTGGAGTCCTTGTTGGAACTATACCGCCTCTATCCTCGAATCTTAATATCATGGCAGCTTGCCGCACTAAAGCAGAAATCTTGGCCGAACAAATTCATTCATTCTTGGCTCACTAAGTCTGCGCAGGGTACATGATAATTTTCGGACCCAATGATCCACCACGGTGTGGAAAGTGGTCATTTGTAGATACAATCTCGAATGAATCAGCGTTTCGGGGACGAGGCCCGACCAGCTCAACCTAATAATAATGATTAAAATTTTTATTTTTTCAACATATAATATACGACTACTATAATTAAAATATAATTTACTATAATTCAAAATGAGAGACGGGTTTCTACGAAAATTGTTCTATACGTTGAGAAAAATTTAACTATGTAATATAAACTCAAAGTCTCAAAATCGAAATTTTAGGAGTTATGAAAAATATTTCGAAATTGTCTTGTTCCCAAAATTCAAATCACCTATTGAAAATATTGATGTTGACAGCGTTTGTCATGGTCACAGATTTATAATCATTCCAATCGGTGAAAAGTTGCACTAATGCATTTATTTGATGTATGACTCTGTTTGAGCCTAGCCTTCAAGTTTTATATCGTCTTTATGCATTGAGGGAAATAATCACTTGAAAATCTTCATTTCAGATCGGTCGGTTGAAGGCAGATAGAAGATGATAGATCCATCTTCATCTGAAGAAGACAGTGAAGAAGAACATGGACCAGGTCACCATGTTGGACACCATCCACCCTCCCACCATCAGCATCATTCATCAATTCATTCACACCCTGTGAGTATAATGACAGATTTGAAGACATATTATCAAAATTACCATTATTTAAAAATAGACAATTAGTTCAAGCAATTATTTGAAAAATGAAACATATGTTTTTAATAATTTTTATTTGATAGTGATTTGTGAACAAAAATATGGCCGAATAACCTAAGGTCACTGATGAATAATCACATTTCTTTTTCAATTTTAATAAGTATGTAGGCTTTGGATAACTGCTATTACATTTCTACTACTTGGGAGTCTTTTAATTTGTCCATTTTTCCCAAGTCTCCGGAAAACAGTGCGACCACATGACCTAATTGCGTTTCTCTCTTTTTTTATGACACCCATTCCAACAGTCTCGTTTCCTGTACTAGTTTATACAGGTCCCTTGCTGGATGGACAAATACTGGATTTCCATAAATTGTTTGCCTCCTGTGATCAAGTTATCCACATTTGCATGAAATATGACGAGCTATCTCCCTCCCTTTATTTTGCATTGCTAGGGTTTCCATTGTACAGCCCTATTTTGTACAGGTGTCCTTCGATGGACAGTGTCCAGTAAGTGTCCCTGTACTTGTTCTGAGTTGATTCCAGTTTAGTTAAAGCAGTTCTTTAGTTTTCTTTTAGGACGGCCCCTTTATGAAGATTTTCTCATTTGTGCACCCGGGTATATTTTCCAAGTACTCTTCATGTTCCTTATAGACACACTCTTCAATCTGTGTTCCATACCGAAGACTGGTAAAGACTGTGGTATCTCCACAGCTGGTATTAGTTCCTGAGTGTGCTAGCCCCTAGTTTAGAGTAATCTATTCCGCCGTTTCCTTCAGTTCTTCACAGTAGTTGTCTGCTCATTTTATTGAAGATTAAAATTAACATTCTTTGTACATTGGAAGATCGCATTCACTTCTGCCTAGAGCCTAGAAGATGAATGTGTTTCAATTGAGCGGATTGTAATCCTAAAACCTTCAAAATATTTTCCATAATTTTGGCTCCGAGCAAAACTGAAATTTTTGAAAATCACTTCCTTCAGAAGGTTTTCATACTTTTGAAATGTTTACCTCATTACTTCACTCACCTCACCACATTCTTTCTTATATCAATTCATTTGGTGGTTTCATTCACTACTTATGTTAAATAGAACTGACTGATATCTGATAGAACTTCATCATACCAGCTGTAACCCGGCTACGCACGACCACTCTCAAAAGTCGAAACTTGTGCGAGCTAAGGACTAACGAAGGCTTACCTTTCAACTTGTGATTCCTAACACCAGTTGAACAATATGAAGTGAAAATCGATGGTTCGGCCTCGCTTCTTGAACCACCGGTTCACACAGCGGTCGATTGAGTGAGTGGTGCAAACCACCCACGTCCACCCACCAGGCTACTGTCCCACCCTTAAAACGTACTTACACAAATTACTGTGAGTTTTTTTGTAAAACCTTTCATAGTGTGTTGTAAAATCTTTCGTTGAAGTCCTTCGTCGATCCCATAGGTGGCGTTTTCGTGACAGGAGATCTCATCACCTTTACTTTCAGACTTGTACTTTTTTGGACAGTTCATCTTGAGGATCTGTATCTGACAAACTCATCATCTTTTTCATTGTCTTGGTGCCATAGCCAGTATACAGTGTATAAAAGCCAAATGAAATAAATTCGTTATTTCGGTTACCGTACATATTTAAAAAAATCCCGAAACACATCAAATGAAAATTATAATTTGACATTCTTTGACGTAAAAATGTCACCCCTACCCCCTTCGAATGACAGGTACAACCCTCATTTTTTTGAATGAGAAGTATAGGTTTGTGATGTATCGTTTGAAAGGTCTCTTCATTCTCTATTCAAAAATGTTATCTCAAGTTTATTGCAACAAATAAGATAAAATAAATTAAAATCATGTTGTTACCGAAATTCGATAAAATACACTCAAAAACTAAAATTTAATGCAAAACGTAATGAAATGTATAATAAGAAATATAACTATTGATGTTAACGAAATAAATGTTCAAAATGATTGCCGCCAACGTCTTGGCAACTACCTAATCTCAAATAAAACTGTCTTCTAACATTATTTAACATATCAGGCGTGACCGACCTAATCGCAAGCGTTATTCGTTTTTTTTTAATCATTCAAATCAGAAGATTCAGTTTTGTACACATTGCTCTTTACATATTCATATAAAAAAATCTAATGAGGAAAGATCAGGTGATCACGCTGGCCATTCAATCGATCCTCGCCTCCCTAACCACCAAATGGGAAATGTTGTATGGAGATTGCCGGACATTAACTTGGTAATGTGGTGGTGCTCCATCCTGCTGAAACCATATCGTATTCATTGGAACTTGAGGGTTTCCTGGATCAGGATATAAATTTGCTAAACTTGGAATGACATCATTTTGGAGTAGTGCCAAATAATTATCGCCATCCAAGTTGCCCTCAATGAAAAAGGGACCGATGATATGGTTTCCTACAATCCCTGCCAAAACATTAACCTTTTGAGGTTATTGCGTGTGTTCTTCTCTCATTCAGTGAGGATTTGTTATCCAACTCTGTTATCCAACATGTCCATCATTTGCTCACAAAAATAAGTTCTTCTATCAAAATTGTCTTCCATGAGCTCCTCAGTAGGTATCATTTTATAGGAATGCATTTTATATGTTTACTATCGATGTATGGCTAACCTTGGCTCATTGCATTGCCAGCTGCTCTTTAAAAAAACCTGTTTTCAATTTCAAAATAGGTTTCTCATTTTTCGAATGAACTCTACATTATTGTTGATGATATGCATTCTCAAGCAATGTCAAATCATAATCATAAATCAAACTAATGTTGTGGAAACTATCAGGTTCAGTTGTCAACGAATGTAACTATTTTAATTCCACTAATAATGGCAGAGAAAAAAATGTATTTTTTGGTGAAGTAATTCTAGCGGCTTGAATTGAATCGGAATAACCCATACATAAAAGTTGCACTAATGCATTTATTTG